TTTTTTTTTTTTTTGTTCATCCGCCCGTAAGCTCGAGTTCATCTCGTTTGGACTCATCTTGTCAAGGCACGTTTGATTTGAAAAATAGGGTTTTTTTTTTGTGAATTTTCGAATCCATTATCTTAACTCAACCTCATTAGACTTATGAGTACATGATTAATTTTAACAAACATGCCGAGGTCAAGCTAATTTATCGGCTCGGCTCGATAAAAGCTCGAGTCGACTCGTTCAGCGTACTAAGAAGAATCATACATATGATAGATAAGTATATGGATCGCCCAATAATTTGCATAGCTGTTTTTTTTGGGACACTGAATAAAATGAAAGGAAATCAGGAATAAAAAAATTGGGTCTACCATGTGTGATTCTTGAACTTGATTCTTGTAGGAATATATGCATAAATGGAGGACACTTCACTTTAGCCTCCAACCTTTTGTTACCCAAATTGGATGTGTATAATTGATGTGATCACAAGGTAATGTTGATCCTATTTCATGTCAAAAGTTGCAAAAAAAAAGAAAAAAAAGGTGTACGATTCGATTTGAATGGAGAGTAATGCTATAGGTATATAATATTGTACATAAGAGTGTACATAACACTCATATTGAGTGGGACCCACCAAAAATAAAAAATCGAGTGGACCCCACTCAATGTGACTGTTATATACATTCCTACGTAAATTCATTACGTACATATAGCATTTTCCTTGAATGGGATAGAAAAGAGAGCTCACACTTTTTAGTTTTATACCATAGATATATAATTTCTTAACTCACGTTAATTCTATACCAAAATATATATCAATTTAGATATATGCCCATTGAAGTATTATAGAAATAGTAAAATACATAAAATCCTTTCAACAAATATACATATTTTTAAAACCGAAACTCATAATCATAATAAGCATGACCAAGCTGGCAATAACAAAACAACAAAAATGGCGCAGCGCAACAGAAGCTCAAGAGAAAAGTCTAAAAGAGGACAAATTGTCATTCACAAATTTCAAATGAAATAAGAATGCCACAATAATAGAAACGTTAGCAAAATTCACCGACTATTAAACCCTTTTCAATATTTCAAATCTCCATGTCCAACATTAAGAAAGGTAATAACGAAGCAAAAAGGCGCAGCACGACATAAGCTCAAACGAAAACAGACTAAAGAGGGC